CAAGAAAATTAGTCATTTTGGATTTGAGTGTCCAAATCTCATTTAATTTAGTGTTTAGGTGGTGTGATCAGTGCAAATAGCTAGATGGCTCTAAGAGTTACGTTTCGACATTGAGTCACTTAAATTGAACGCCGAATGGTGAAATGGCTTGCTCCAGAAGTTGATTCGGAGAGATGCCATGATAGCAATTGCTATCATGATAGGGGACGCATACAACGCACAAAGAGGGAAGTTTCCCTCTGTATAGTCTGCCGCGGCAGATGTCACACTACACCGCAACTTATTGTGCCCTATTGTTGAGAAATTTTTTAGTTCTACTCATTATTTATATGTGACAAATTTTCATGCTTTCATTGTCTTGTTTATTTGTTTTAAACGATAGTTTGAGGTCAAACGGTCTATTAAAAATGTTTTATAGAATTCCAATTTTTTGAACTTCTTTCTAATCCTTGTGTTTGATGACCATTTTTCTTGAGATTAGACTATTTACAATTATCATAACGATATTCCATGTTTGATGTCCTGTGTGTTTGGTAATGTTAAGGATGACGTCACAAAATGCATCATGTGGGGTTTGTTTATGTTGTGTTTCAATTAAATGTCTTCTTAAATTCATTTATCAGTGCCCTTTATGACATATTTTCTTAATTATTTTCAAGTTTGTAACCAAAGGACATGATAGGGTTAAGACTACATTTTATACTGATTCACATGATCTAACTACTAGGAAATCAATCCATGATGATAACATATGTCTTGGATTTCCTTAACAATGCATATAATTCTTTATATTTTAAAGATAGGCTATCTTAGCCCTTACGTTGACTGTGGTTGAAGACTTAAATAAGTACATGTTGTCCCTACTCTTTAGAGAAGAAGTTGTATAATTGAATTTCGATAGTGTTATGCTTTATGATGGGGAAATGAATTCACTTAATGACTTGTACTTTACAAATTTCCTAAATTCAATCATATTAACAGGCCTCCCAAATCATGAAATAAGGCTGAAAGTTGGTACCCAATTATTTTAATGCAGAATAGTGATAAGTTTATGAGGTTATATAATGGTACACGTCTTATAGTTATATAAATTGAAAAACATGTTATTGAGGCTTAAGAATGTCTGGGTCAATTGCAAGGACAAAAGTATATATAACATGTATTGGTATTTGTTCATTTGATTCCAGGTTATCATTTACTATGAGGATGCAATTTCCCATTACTTTAGCCTTTCCAATGATCATCAATAAGAGCCAGGGATAGAGCCTTTGCTATGTCAATTTGTATCCACCTTGTCTTGTTTTCATCCACGAACAATTATACATTACTGTTTCTTGTGTTTAAAGTAAGGAGGGTTTAAAAATATTAATTCTTAATGGGTGGTCAATCTATAGATAAAAACTTCTAATGTTGTTTATAGGAAAGTTTTCAATAATTTGATATAATTAATGATGAATTTTCGTTAACCTGCTTCCTATCGTATCCATTTACA